ATTGTGTTGGTGCTCAGAATTAATTCATATAAAACCAAAAACAACATACAACGTTAAGGCATTTTCTGATTTTCCTGAAAATGCAATTCATGCAGAAGCAACAACAATTCAAGCTGTTATGGTATGTTCATGAATTTCAAAATAGAAAGAAATTATTGGACTGATACTTAATATGACTGCTGAAGATGAATTAGATATATGTAATAACATTATAGAAAAATACAAGGAATACATTAAAATTAATAATAATTCACATTCTATATTATGTTGTCTTTTGTATAGTATGCAGAAAGACTTAATGATTTTAAAGTGTATGAAATGTATGATCGAAAAAATAGTGTTAAGGAAACATGGTACTTTTCTGTTTCGCCGGCGCAAATCTCGCCAAGCAGACTTTATTGGCGACAACACAGAGCATACACATATAAAATGTTAACAAATGTTGGTTCTAAGAATTTTTTATTTTGAGGGCATGAACATTTTAATATCGTTTAAATTTTATAAAAAGCCAATAAATAAAGACAATAAATTTGTAAAAAGTCATTAATTTAAGAATTTACTATGCTTTCATGGTACAACATCTTGATTCACATGACTCCAAGTGATCTCATCTCACGTAAACTACACTAAAAAAATCTAATTCTCTCAGTAATTATCTACATTATTTTCAAGTTAAATCGTAATTTGGAATACAAGTTTAAATGCAAGAATTATTTCAGGTCATATGAATAGCTTACTCAGAAATTATGTAAAACCGGAGTGCTTTATTTCGCTAGTGCATTCTCATTAGATTGACCTTAGGGCATAAAACTGGACTATCTGTTAAAAATTCTATGTAATTGTATGCCAGTATTGAAAGAAGAAATGAATTTGAAAGAATGAATTTGAAGAAAGAATTTGAAAGAAACAATGAATCTGATAAGAAATGGCTGCGACTTGTTTTGAAAATGAGGCGTAAAATGCTACCAGCGAGGATATTCCGTTTGGCATCAGTTGTACCATTATTGGCGACTTTATCGCCTGCGCCGGCAAAACGGAAAAGTACCGGAAACATTAACATTACTATGAAATATTGTAATTTATAATTATGTGATATTTAATTGTGTAATATTAAAGAACACTAACCCATTTTGTCTAATCTTTGGAATATGGTAACAGGTAGTTTGGCGACATTTTGGTAAGGCGATAAAGGTTACTAGCTAGGACTTTAGCAGTGTACATGGATAAAGTGAAGAGTGTGCGCAATGCCATTTTTGTGCAATTCTGGGATGTTTTTTTAAGTGAAAATAGGTCGACGTGTACATGGATGATACCGTGTATGTGCAATTCTTAAAAACGCCGCAAGCAGTGGGCGATTCTGAACTTTCTCCCAATTTCGCACCTAATCTTCGTCATGATTAAGCACTTTTGTTCCATAAAAGTTCTAGCATAAGCGTAATTTGGCTAGCAGATTGTTGAAAAAAAAATGTTGATTTAAAAAAAAAAAAAAAAAAATGCCTTTTTTTTTTGTGAAAACAAAATGGCGTCCAAAAACAAACTAGCAGGTTGCTGTAGCAGGGCAGGTCGCCAAATTTTCGCCAAGTTACCATAATCCAAAGATTAACCAATATTTTTTATTGATTGCAAATTGCAGTTTTATTACTTTTCGTTTGGTCTCTATTCTTCCAAACACTGTGTAATTCGCGTTTTTTAAATATTGCCGTTATGTATGTTTATTAGACTATCTCAATAAATAAATGTTGGAAATTAGGTTTTATTTCTCATTAAATTTAAGTATATTCTATTTTCTTCGCTTACTGTTTATGTTCTTGTGATAGCAAAAAAATTCATAATAAATAGAAACAAAAAGTTTTATCGTGTGCTATTTAACGAGGAGCTTACTTTAACGTACTTAGCTTACTATCGTATACTATATTATTTAAATTATTTTTGTACAGTAACAAAAGGAAAAGTTATTGATTATAAAGTGCATGAAATAATTATTGTAATCTACCACTATTCTAAAATGTAGAAATTAAAAGTAAGTAAATGCATTAACGTATGATCGAAAATAATGGTGTTAAAAACATCAGCATTATTAGTAAGTACTGCAATCCAGAATTATTGCACTTTTAATTGCTTACTATATAAAAAACTGGAATAATTTTTTATTAATTAGAAATTTTAGTTCTGTTACCTTCCTTCTGCTTATTTATACTTTCAAACACTGCTAGTACATGTTGTTTCTTAAATAGTGCTGTCATGTATGTTGTTTGTTAGGTTATTATTTAAATTTAGATATGAATATGAGAAGTTTTTTTTAGTTATTAGATTTAGATATATTTTTGTATGAAATACTTTTGATCACATTTATTAACTACTTTATACAGTGTTTCATTTGGATATCTTGGAGATATAGAAGTTAATAGTTATATTTTTTACAATAAAACGCGAATAAATTTATACTTAAATTCAGGTAAAATACTGATTATGGTACCTTAAGAACCGCTTTCTAATTTATCATGACGGGGGCAATTTTCAATGTCTCTGAGATTTAACAGAAATAAATGTGATAATGCTGTTATAATCAGAAACGCCTTTTTTTTTTTTCCCATATATATATCTTTACTTTTATTTATGTCTGATTGAGTTTTATTTACTTAAAACCTACTATTAATGTTATATATTTATAATAACCACTTTCATAATTTTTCTCATTTACATACTAAAGGATTAAGGAAAAAAATGATGAAATCTTAAGTAATCGTGACGTGGAATTTAAGTTATTTTAAGGGGACTCATACACCTTAAAACCCATAAGATCTTCGAATAGGTGACCTGCTGCAAAGAATAGGGATAACTTATTTATTTTAAAAGCAATTATTTCCAATGTTATATAGCTGATTTCTTAAATAATAATCAGAAAGTCTGTGTTGCCACAAAAAGTTTTATAATTTAATCCGCTTTGTGACAAACAGTTTTCGTCATGTTTCCAACTTGCGCGCACAGTTTAAAACATTCTGTTTCATAATTTGATTCCATATTTAATATATAGCTTTTATAACATTTGGAAACTACTGTGAACCTAAAATTCCTAAAAATTTCATGTTAAATTTTTATTTTATTTTGTATTGAGTTTATAAAATGTATTTTATTAAAAAAATTTTTTAATGTTTTCGCCCGTAAAATTTTTCAATATTAAAATATTCATCATATAGAAAACAGTGCCCATATAAAGAATTCCATCAAATTTCAAGTATGTACCATTAGCCATTTTTAAAATATCATGCGCGCAAGGTGGAAACACGGCGAAATATTTTGTCAAAAAGAGGATTAAATTACAAAAATATTTGTGGCAACACAAACTTTCTGGTTACTAGTTTCCAAAGCAGATATGTCATATAGTCAGCTGTAAAAATTTGGAAGTAATTGCTTTTAAAATAAATAAAATATCCCAATTCTTGCAACAGTCACATATTCGAAGATCATGAGGGGTTTAAGGTGTATGAGTCCGCTTAAAAATATAGTTTAAAGTACTGAAAATAATTAAGGCTATTATTAATTATGCATATTTATTCTAAAGAGAAAAATTGTATTATCTTCTACTTTTTCAGGAAATGATAAAATATTTAAACTTTAGATAAATACAAGGAATACAAAATTTCAAAAAAGAAGAAAAATGTATTGATTATTAAGCTTATTTTTCTGTATAAATCAATATGTAACACAAGGACATAATAACGACATTTTCACAACTAGTGCAAAAAGGTGGAATTCGGCGAACATTTAGGCGTCTTTAAGACGTCGTGATACGATGCTTTCACAACCAAACAATCACCTGCGAAAGACGCAATAACGTCGTCTATGCGACAAAAACCTCATCTGAAAAGACGTCTTTGCAACGGTTGCAAAACAGTGGGTGTTCGAGGACATCTGGGCGTCTTAAAGACGACATATTGCAACGTTTTTGTAACGACATCCGCGACGAGTTTGCAACATCGTTACGACGTTGCTGTGCTACTCGGGTGTGTAAATGCGTTTAAACTGACAGCTCGATTTTCTTTTATTTAAATTGTAAATAGAATTCTAGTTTATGCAAGTGGCAGAAACTTTTTTTTTTTTTTTTTCCCCACAGTCTGAGATCTGTAAATTGTAATCAATGTCTTAGTTGGCTTTCTTTCTGGTGAATTATTACTGCATATTAAAAGTTAGTTATTTTCTGCCAGTGCAATAAATCGCCAACGAAAGTCATGTCTAATCAGACAGTTAATGTGATAACTGAGAAGCGATTTAGATTAACAGCATATTATATTTTATTTATTGGGCGCAGTTTAAAAAAATATGTTTCAAACTATTACATTCTAAAATACTTTTAAGCTTAAAGAAATAACATCTATCTAAAGAAAAAGATAGTCAACAACATCTTACCAGGACATTTTCAAAACTTCAACATAATTTTTATATCTATGAACAGAAATTACTTGTCACAGTGAAACCTTCACACACATCTATCATTACGTCTACAAGTTTCTCTTAGCATAGATCATGTCTCATTAAGCTTTTATGTCACAGTAGCATCCTAAGAACCAAGTAGTCTCATCTATCTACGAATAATTGCCACGACAAAAGTAAGTAAAAATTCCCATTCATTTAGTGAAAACTCATTCTGGAAGCGTTTTCCAGAGTAACTGTTTTCCCTGAGATCTATAATTAGGAATGCCATTGCTGTTTTCATTAAAAACACAGATGGGCTACTTGAATACTGAAAATACAACGCATGTTCAGAGGAGAGATACAAAGATGAAACTGATAAGAAATTTATGGAAGTGACCAGGGACTAGTTTCCTTACGCACTGAAACTTTCTTTCAGACAACAAAGAGATATTGAGTTCTTCAGAACTCTACACATGAAAGTTCCGTACTGATACTAGCAAGAATTTCAGAAAACAAATATGTGCATTACCTTAATCTCGAGTACCAAGTTACATAAAAGAAATCCCCAGGACTGCTGCTGTAAGCAGACAACTTTAATTTAGTAGACTTGCAAATTATGAAGCGCAGTAAAATAGCGCATGCGCTAGCAATAGATTTTAAAGTTCAAGCAATTGGTGTTGCTTCAGTCAAGATTCATTTTAACAAATTTGTAAGTAGCTGGAGGGTAAGTATCTTATTGTTTTAAAATAAAAATAAAGCATATGATTGAACTTGCTTGATTTTATAGAGTTATTAAGCACCTTAGTATTAAGAACGTGAAGAGAATATAATCATTTTGTTGTGAATAAAATTTAAGTGACAGAAATAATTTATTAAATAATAATATAACTCTAATATTTACTATATTAAATACGAGAGTTTAGGTTCAAGCTCTATGAAGCAATGATGATATTCATAATAAAAAATTCATGACAAGTTTGTAGCAATCGTTGGTCCTGTCCACATATCTCGAACTGAACTGAACTTAATGAAGTCTTTTGATGGAATCATTTACATTAAATCAAATTAAAAATACTTGTTAGGCTCAGTATCAAAACGGGAATGCTTGTGTGAAAACAGTATTCTCATAGTTTAAATATGCACATTTAAAAACGAAACTTAAAATTTGTCCAAAAGTTCATTTTGGGCTATAATTTTTCAATAGACTGACAACAAAAGTGCCCTGATACTATTTTCGACAGGAAAATGTTATGGTTGTTTTGTCAGGCAAAGAGAAAGTTCAAGATTTGCTTAAAAGCTTTTGGCAGTTTACCATAAATAGTTTCTGTTATTTTTCTTATATTTATATTTCTTATTATCCTACAAAACTAATCCTGACGATGTCAAAAATAAGGCTCTATTTCTATTTCCTTGTACCTCCAATATTTTGAATTTTGTTAGCGAGTTTATGGGAAAGTTTCTAGGAAATTAGTAAAGCTATCTGAGAATTCTGCCCAGTACGTTTCTGAAATATTTATTACTCAATCTTTCAAGTGTTTCCAAATACATTATTGAAATGTTTATTTGGGATATTTTACGTTCTTTCAAACTTGAATACTTGTATACTTTCAAAGCAATTCGATGTTACTGCGTCTTTTAAAAATGTTTTTATTTCATCGATGCGATTTGCTGAAATAAAATACCGTCCGAGCAAAAGTATTATGTTGATGAAGTGAAAAAAAATTATATCCCGATAATCGGTGACAAAATCAGATCCACAGTATTTATAAATTTTGTGTAAGATGAATAATAGGATCTACATTTTGATATTTACTGTCATTTGCTTTCAATAGTAGAATACTTCAATAACTAAAGTAATTTCTTTCCAGAAGATCAACATTGTTTCAGTCTCATCAATGTTTCTTGCATCTTACTTTCCCCTTAAATAAACTGCAGATTATGCAATACTAATCAGTTTTTTACTGACTAGATGAAGGCCTCCAGTCTTTAAATAAAATTGTTAAGTGATATTTAATGTATACTTTAAGTGCGATTATTAAGGACTTAAGGTGTTATTTTTGTTGCAGCAATTATGAATGAAATCTCAACTGAAACTTCTGACACTTAAATTATATATTGCTTCTGCTTATTAATCGTAACATTTTATTAGCACATGATACCACTGATTACATTTCAGTGCAACGACTTAAACCATAACAAAAAAAAATGCATGCAAGTTTTCTTTTATTCGTTTCAAGTGTTTTAATGTGTATTTCGTTTTTCAAGCTTCTTAATGCTTATTTTTAATTAAATTGTGTTCTTCAGTTTATCTGACTGCAAGTTCAAAACATCTTTAATATTTAATGATATCCGTGAAGATTACAGCATTTCAGCCAGAAATGTTTTCGAAAACTAGCGAAGTAATTAATTCAGTCAACTTCAAATATAATCATTTACCTCATTATTGTAATTGTTTTCTTAAAATAGCCATATTTCGTTTTCTTGCCTTTCGCTTGCATTGCGCATTTCTGAAAGCTGACGACCAATTAAAAACCATTCTGTATCGCACTGCCTCACTTCTTGTCTATAGCATATAGACACTTCTCAGGATGCCTTTTCATTATTACAGATAAATTAAGCGGTAAAATCCTAGTATACGGTGCAGCCTTGGCGCGATTTTGAAAATTATCGCCAACACCAAACATGATCCAAAGAACGTCTATATATATACTATAGTGTATATACATTGTGTATACATAGTATATACTATGTATAACTATATATATTCTTCGAATGACCCGTTTACTACTCGTCGTATATGTCCAGTTTTTACTGCTCATCATCAAAGTCGCCAAAAGTAGCCAAATCCCGTGTGCACCGGATACTAGGATTAAACCAATTAAGCAAAATAATAGCCAGGCTGTCGCTAAGTGTTTAGCGACTACTATTGTTATTTAAAATCATGCTTTTATGTCTATCTTTTGAACTTATTCCTTCCCAAATTAAGTTTCTTAGTTGGCATACTTCATAAATGTGTAATGAACGAAATCTAGAAGCTGATAAACAACTGTTTCACTTCAAAATCAGGAAAATGATCTGCATAATATTGGGTAAGCCAAAAAATTGCCAAACAGCCGAGTGAGCGAGACCTGTTGACTGTCTGAAGGGTCCACTAGCGACTGAGCGGAAAAGTCGCTGAACGCAGGTAGTTTAGGATCTGGGTTCGATTCCAGTTAAATAGTCTGGTTGCATGAGTGTATTCGTGGTTTCCCCGTGGATGCGAATCAGTGTCCTCTTAGAAAGTTCTCCATGAAGGCATGCCTCCTTTTTAGGCAGATAGCCCTACCATGCTTTCTCGCAATCAAATAAACCAAACTTTGTCGGCTGAAGGAAAATTCTTGATGTTTCACTGACATTTTCTACAAGTACTAAATTAAACCTCTTTGCCACTTTGAAATTGTAACACGAAAGTACTACCATGTATGATATTGATTCCTCACTGAATATATAAAAGTTCTTGGGGCTAATTATGCTTTAGGTGCAAAGTAGACATTTTAGTGAACTTTAACAGTGGGAATTGTAAGCTACTAGTTATTGAAGTAGATAATATAACTAGAATTATCCCCTCACTACGTAGTCTCGAATTTTGCTTCAATGCATTGAAAGGGCTCGCTGCATAATTTTCATAGTTCCTCCAAGTTGTAGTCTAAAATTATAGTTTCTCTTGAAATGTCCTACTCGAAGACTTCTTTTCGAAGGTAAAAGAAAATCTCCCTCTACTTTGTCATGTATAACCAAACAATTAAATTTATCCCTAGTTCAATGAGTATGGCGCATCCTACTTTCTACTACTAAATCCTACTTTGAAATTTTCTTCTCTTAACATGAATAACTCTTTAAATGTAACGTTTACTCTATAACAGACTTCATAGTCATGAGACGAATATTTAAATTTTGTATTGGATGAAATCAGGTGACGTCAATTTGTTTTTTACAGATTTTGAAAAAAATCAAATTTCAAAATGCAATTTTTGACATCTGTACAAATATGCATTTTTAGCTTTCAGCAAGCAAATATTTTTAGATTCCGTTTTCTTTTGGGGGCAAAAAAATATTTGCATACAAAACATTAAGTTATCGGTTATTTCTATGCAATTTAATATATTAAAATGTATTCAAAAAATTGTACACCGTTTTTGTTTATTTTCGTAATGGGCTCATATTTTGGCGAGATAAGTTGAATTGTTTACGTAATTAATGTAACGTTAGTATTACATTGTGTAGTTAATCGGAAGCTTATGAATGCAGTATAATATTTAAACTTTTGCACTAGAATATTATAGTTGATGTTCCTAGAAAACACGCTATTGCCATTACTTAAAGTGTTTTTAAAACATTGCAAATTGAAGTTTCCTTAATAACATTTTTAATGAGTTAATTTCATTTTCTCTGTAAACATAAATCTCAAGATAATATGATGTTTTTACAATGTAAATTAGCTCCCTATTGGAACAATCTTGCTTTGATTGTAATAAAATGCGCTTTACTTTTATTGAAATCTACGCATTTTTGATCTCGTTCAAAATATATAATGCATATGGTAAGTTTCAGTTAAGACCATTTTTAATTTAACAAAGATAATCTGTCATGATTAGGTAAAGGAATCGTAAATGAGAACCGATCCTGAGACTGCGAAAAGAATCTCTTACATAATTCAAATGAAGCTAAAATTTTAAAACGGCAATGCTGGATGCGAGTACACTACCGCAAATTCAAAAATTCATTTCTTGAGATTTTGAAACGTTTTATCTCGTTTAAAAAAAAAAAAAAAACTTTCATTTTCTTGTATTCTAGTACTGTTAGTTGAATTCTCAATTTTTTAACGTCTTTTCTTTAAAACATTTGTGTTAATTACAGCAGATGCTTCAAGTTTCGTTTGCTTTATTCATTACAAAAAAAAAATTCTACAACCTTGAATTAAGTATTAGATTATGGCAAAGCACTCTAAAGTTATTTCCCTAAGGATGCCTTCGAAGAACACTTAAGGATTCATATTGCACATGCAAAGACTGCGAAAACAACTCGTATGGCGAATCCTTTCCCAGCATTTGAACCTGTATTGAACTATCGGTGTTCACGGATTTTACCGATTGGCTGCTAAAGTACACAGCCAACCTTAAAAGGAACACCCATCATAGAGGACTTTTGTAGGATATTGGCTCTTGCCTGTGTTTAATAATGGGAAGCAGGAATTGGAAAACCCCATACAGCTAGTATCTTTGACCAGATTCAGAGGCTTCAGATATTTAATACTGTATTGCAGATAAACAGAACCTCCTTGTAAAAGGCCCGCCAGTGGCCAAGCGGTAAAGTATCTGAACACCGGTAGTTCAGTCCGATATTCGAAACTCGCGAACGGGCTGGGTGCATGCGCGTTTTCGTGGCTTTCCCCATGTGGAATCCCAGCCAATTTTCTCCTAAAACGTCCTCCACGAAGCCATCCCTCCGCTTAGGCATGTGGCTGTAGTGTGCTTTGCCGTAATCTCGATAAACCAAACCTCCTTGTAAAAATCGCTAAGAATTTCAAAATCCTCAAATTCTATAAACCATGACTATATAACCACTCTCCATTTCAAAAACCGATATCGCGATTTTCGCATGTGTTTTGTTTCCTGCATATTCCAAGTTCATTTGTTTTTATAAACAAACCGTGGTATTTTTTAACTTCAATTCAATTCAATTTTA